ATAATATTACACGTTTTCAGTTAGTAAAAAATGGCAATGTACCGGAGATTACGGTTATTATGATAAAAATGGCGAAATCTTTCTCATCGATAAAATAAAGGATCTTATTAAATATAGAGTATTCCATCTTTCACCCACAAAAATTGAGAATACGTTACTACGACATCCAGCAGTGTCAGAAGTCGTTGTACGATCTGTGCCACATCCTATTAATGGTCAACATCCTGTAGCTTATGTTAAGAAAGAATGCGGAGCAGAGGTTGACATCTTGATTTTTTCTGTAAAGTTGTATAAACCTTTTTGTCGGAAGTTCACATTATTGTGTCTTAGGTGACGGAAAAGGAATTGATTACATTTGTAGCAAACGAATTGCCTGAAATCTACCAACTGCGAGGGGGCGTGCACTTTAAGATATGTGTACCATATCTTCCTAATGGAAAAATCGATCGAATGCTAGCACCGGGATATACATCCCTCTACTGAAACATGTACTATAATAAATATATATATTTTTTTTTTATCTTTTAATAAAAAAAATGTTTAAGTAGACGATAAATTCTAATAAATAAGGTAAATGTACCAGTTAGTATAAGACATTAACGAATTGTTGGACAAAACATTTCAAATATAAAGCATTTAACGGTATATACTTTTTTGTGATTACTGCTAGTCTGCTATACCAACCAATTATTAGTAACAGAAACAAACTATATAGAATCTAACCTATCTTTTGGATAGACTTTAGATTCCTTTACATAGAATTCGTGGATGATCGTGGAGTCTTAAGTAGGAAACCGACCAAGCACAGTCAAATATAGGGAGAATACTTGACTAGAATTAATCAATTTCTTACGATTTGAGACCCTGCAACCGTCTACGACTTTTATATCTATATATATATGAGCCTCTTATTTGCTAGCGATACTATTGATTATTTGCTACAATGACAAATTAATTTGCAAAATCGTAACAAATCGATCGTTTTTTAAACAAATATCACATTTGCTTTCCCTTGATTTGTTCCTATAACAAAATCATTTCTCTCAGTGTGATTGATTTTTTATGTAAAGTCGAATAAACCTTTTTATCAGAAGCATTATTGTCTTAGGTGACGGAAAAGGAATTGATGACATATGTAGTAAACAATTTGCCTGAGATTTACAATCTACGCGGAGGCCTGCACTTTAAGACATACATATCACACCTTCCCAATGGAAAAGTCGAATGCTAGTTGCTCGCATGCTATAACGATTGAACGTTACAACAATATTATATTTTTCACCATTTAATTCATAAAGTGAAAATATTCACACACATAAGTCGACGATTTTGTATACAGTGTGCAAAAAAATAATATTATCAATTATCATTTTAATATTAGATTGAGAATGACTAAGTGAGTTGACTTTTTCTTTTTAAAAGAAGATTACTATTATTGAAATTAATATTTATTATTTTTGTAAATATTTTTGAATTTATTTGTATATTTATAATTTATTTGTATATGTATAATTAGATACTTTTATAACTAAAATTATATATAAGTATACATATATCTGTAACTTAGATTGAAATTATAAATTTATTGAAATTAATTCAATCCAATTTTTTATTAGGAAGGTGAAAGTTGCTTCATGTTGAAAGTCAAAACTTATGTAGAAATATTGTGTAATATTTAAATAATAACTTACATAAAGCACTATAAAAGTTATAAGAAGTACATTTTCGTATACCATGCCGTCATATTTACCTCATAAGAACAATACTGTAAGGAAATTCTTGATACTTATGCAACACGTTAAGCACACAATTGTAAATAATTCTGTGTCACTAACGCAAGTGCTGCTAATCGGTATCATTGTTAAACACAACGAGTGGCATATTCCCCCAACTGGCGTATTCCAACTGACTTATCCTATCGCAAATATAATTACTGAACTGTGTAACTTGAGAAGTAATAAGTATTTTCAAAATATTTAATTGGTACTGTATATGAATAATTAGACAAATTCATCGCATCCAATCATAAAATATTATGAATTCGAAATCAGAAGATAAAAAATTCATTTTTTATTCGTGTCGCGAATTTTTCTTTGTATAAATTTATTCCGATAGGGTTCCATTAAATCGAATATTCTAGGATATTTACACAAATTCTCTTTAGTATCAAATTACAGTATTATAACAGATGTTGTGATAAATGTTAACATTACTCTAATTATAGAACAATTGTCTTATTGAAAATTGGTACAATAATCGATAAGTCGGTCGAGACAGAAATGCGATTTATGTAGGTATATGTTATGACTTATAATATTTTGACTAAACTCTTAGCGTAAGATTATTTATTTTATGCATCGGAATCATAAATAAATATTGTATTGGTTAATACTATTCAAAAATTAGTCACGTAGTATTCGTCAGAATATAAAGTGCTGTTCTAACATCTGCTTTTAGCAAGAACGTCAACGTTATCATCATGAAGAATTTACACTCGATTATCAATATGAAATTTATGAAAAAAGATGATAAACAGAATGGAGAGGTAATAGATAGGTATAATATACATTTAAAAGATATAAAAAATATAATATATATACACATATAAAATGTGATATAAGATCACTGAGAGAAATGATTTTTTATAGGAACAAATCAAGGGAAAGCAAATGTGATATCTATTAAAAAAAACAATCGATTTGTTACGATTGCAAATTAATTCGTCAATGTAACAAATAATCAATAGTATCGCTAGTAAATAAAAGGCTCATATATATATAAAGTCGTAGACGGTTGCAGGGTCTCAAATCGTAAGAAATTGATTAATTCTAATCAAGTATTCTCCCTATATTTGACTGTGCTTGATCGGTTTCCTACCCAGGTAGCAAGCTACGTCATTTTGACGTCAAATGACGTCATTTTGACGTCAGCTTGCTACCAGGCTGATTTTTATGACTTAAGACTCCACGATCATCTACGAATTCTATGTAAATGAGCTAAAGTCTATTCAAAGATAGGTTAGATTCTATATAGTTTTATTTCTGTTACTAATAATTGGTTGGTATAGCAGACTAGCAGCAATCATAACAACATAATTTTGTTGTGATATATTTACCGATCACCGGTTAAAGGTGACTTGCTAAATTAACAAAATCCTTTCTCTCAGTGATCCATTTCATCACACTTGCAAACATATAGGATGTATAGTAGAAGCATTATTTTAACATTATCGTATATCTGTTCAGTATGCTATATCGAACGATACGATATTCATTTTATCCAAAAAAAGAAGCCAAATTAATTAATTGGCAACGAAGAGCCGATTCTCCAAGAAAACATTGGAGATTTGATTTTAAATGAATTTAAATCTAAGCCGAATTTTATAGGACAGGTAACGCTTTCAAACAACGAAAATTACTTTATGCTACGCAGATAAAGTATTCGTTAAATATAAACAACGTCAGAATAAAATATTATACTAGATAAAACATACAACATAAAATGTAAAAATGATAAATTTACCTTTCAAATATGCTTCATCTCAAGGATTTATAATTGCACCAATATAAATAAATAACGGGATACATATAATAAATGTCTTACGTGTGCATATTGTTACTATATATCGCCTTTTTTTTACACCTATTTTCTTTAGCTAATAATGTAAAGTGTGCATTATGGGTGAAGAAAGTAGGTATAAGGAAGACATACGAGTAGTTACAATTTGTACACGTAATACGTCTGTACATTCCGTTTTTGGTATCTATTTATATTGGTGCTATCATAAATCCTTGGGATGTAGCCTATTTTAAAGTTAGATTTATTATTTTTCGAAATTAAGCACGTCTAACCCTTAGGGGACCTATATATATATTCATTAATATATATATGGGACCTTTTTAGTTTACTGTCGAATCCAAGCGGCGCTGGTGATCAAAGGTCTCGCAATCACCAGAAGGAGCCATTTTCGGCTCCTTAAAAATTGTTTTCGTTGTGAGCACAAGTGGGATTGAACCCGGATCTATACAGATCATGAGTCAATCGCAGCGAGCCATTCGACACTACTTTGAAGTTACTACTATTCGATTATTAGAAGATGGCGCAGACTTTTTTGCGATTTTTCAAAACGTTCCTATCATTCGAGTATACAGTGTGTAAATTGTTATAATTACACTTGTAATCAAGGATAATGAAATTGCAAAAATTGAAAACTAGTAATTCATGAAATATGAGCTGTACTATTTTAGGTAGACCAGAAATTGGTGTGGTCATTTATTGAGAGGCAGTTGTTGCCAAACAATTCACTTTTGTAAATTACGTAGCCAAAAATGTTCAAGTAGCAATCATTGATAAGAATAAAGAAAAAGTAGTGGTTTCAAACGAACTTGGCATAATTTGTTGCAAAACTCCGTATATAGTTTATATCAATAAAACAGTACAACGTACGTGACACAAATATTGGCTCAATAATGCGTATATATAATAGTTTATTTTTAATTGATATAAGTAAGTATTATAACTATCATTTATAATACAAATAAAATTTGGAAATTACAAACCATCGCAAATTTTTAACGAAGAAGCGCTAATATAACGATACCGCATCCACAGCATGGTATTTTACTAATGATATCGGTTGCTATAGTGAAAACGGCAAAATTAATATAGTTTGTTCTACGTTAGATCGCAAACCTACTTAAATTGAATATAAAAACATTAAAATCACAGCGAATGATATTGAGTAATTGTTATTATGCCATCCGGCTGTATCCGAGGCCATTGTAATAGCTGTGAAACCTAAATATCCTATCCTAAAGATGATCAGCAGAGCTTATGTTGAGATAAAATCGGAAGTAAAGGTTTAAAGCTGATTATTTCTTTTCGTAAAGTAAAAAAAAATTGTTTAAAAGTTCACGTTGTGCCTAGGTGACAAAAAAAAACACCTAATAGAATTTGTGGCAAACGGGTTACTTGACAGTGATAAACTCCGCGGAGGCGTATGCTTCGTTACAGACGAAATTCAATGGCTTCCTAATGGAAACATTGACATGTTCTATTCATATGAACGTTGGCTTACTGAAAATTCGTACAATAATCGATAAGACGGTCGAGACAAAAATGCGACTTACGTGTATGTTGCAAGTGAAAAAAAAACTAACATAAATCGAACAAAATGGTAAAAACATCCAATAATAAGTGCGAGATTGTTGCATGATATGTTTTATTTATTATGTCTTCATTTTAGAGTCGATAAAGTATAAAAAAAAAAGAAAGTTTTTCGACTTACACTATCGATAATTTGATATTCGTTTTAAAATTTTTCGAGGAAAAGAAATAATTAGTTACTGTACAAATATATTTGCTTGGCAGTAGTTTTGAACCAATAAATGTGTATACCAACATATTAAAGTGAATAATAAAAGTTCCAAATTATTCTAAATTATTCGATCGTATATATTATTATCTAGCTTTGTCTAGATAAA